ATTAATTTTAAAACACGATGATAATGTAAGGGAATTAGTATAAGAGTTTGTTGGCTGTCGTGCTCACCGAAGCAAAGGGCCCCTCACCGCGGTCTCCTGTGTCACGTGATTTCCACTCTCATTCTCATTTTGTCCGTCCTTTTGCAACGTCACTGTTTATGCGTTCCCCCACCCCCATTAATCAACGTTCGTGTATGCTTTTTGCTTTATTGCTTGATTCTTCTTCTATTTGCTAACAACAGTTCACCTTCCACCATCATCTTTTCTCCCGTTTCTTCATGATCCTTCCGACAGCTTGTTTTCGCATGTGATGTGTTGTCCCATAAAAGCTGACCGACATTTAGCTGACCGACTTAATATTTCGAACTATGTAGAATTTCAGTATAAATTAATTTTATGGGGGAACTCAAGTGACTGCTTCTGAAAAGAGATATTTTGCTTTATGAAGAGAATGCATCAATAATGAAACATGAGGTAAATCACCCAAACGCAATAGCTACATTACGGGAAGTTGTTCTTTATAAAGTACTTGGTAATTGAAAGCTAACACTATCTAGAACTAAAATCATACGACAAATTTCCACTACTGCTCTCCTCTCTATCCCGTATTATTTCTTCCACATTCAACACTTCGAATGCAGCTCCATCGCACAGCTCCACCACCGGAACTCGAGCCCTGCCGTCCCCTTCCCTCCCCCGCTGATGGCCGCAGAGGCGGCAGCTGCCGTTCGCCACCGCATCGCGCCCCCTTCAGCGGTTCACCACCCCACTTCAACCCCTGTTCCCACAGCCCCGCCCCTGCCCCCTCGTCGACCCCAGGCCGCTGGCCGCTCGTCGGTGCGCGGTGTCGCTATCGGCTGCAGTTAGCGGAGGTTAATTCGCTTCGCGCTAGCCGGCGCGAACGAGAAACGCGACACCAGGAGGAAGCTAGTTCGAGCTGAAATGTTGTCAATCTTTTATCTCTTGTCGCAAATAAATCGAGGCCTTTATATTTTTTTTTTATTTGTATGCAATTTAAACAAATGTGTATTGAATGTGGAGTTTATAGTTGAGTGTTATTATTTGAAACTTATATTTATATCTTTATTATGACTATGAGCAACTAGTATATGTTCGTTAGTTTTTCGAGTAAAAGATCTATCTAATGGAAAACTTCGAGACAGGTCTTCTATTTGCTAGCCCGGTTTCAATGTTTTGATTACTGAATCAATTTCTATTACGGGCTATTGTTTCCTGTGGTATTGGTGTTGCTAATTTCTCAATTGCGTTAAATGTGTATGATTTCGTACAAAGCGTTTTCAAACATTTTAATAAATAACCGACCACGATGTATAAATTAATATTTCATTCTAATATTCTGTGATTCTTCATGTAGAATTAAATGAATTCGTTAAAGTTTAATCGCATTTTTTTGTAGACTCAGCTCTTAATTATTCGTAGTTCAAATGTTTTGCTTTCTCCTTCATTTACTACTTTGTTTATCCTCACGTTCTATATTACCTACCTTCTTGGAATTTCCGAAGCGCCTTTTTTTAATTTTCTTTGGCGATTTAATTTATTTTAAAGTTTCCCTTGCGACTTTCCGACCCTTACGACTTCTTTCATCGTATTCAATCTCCTTCGCAACATCGCGGCATCAGTTTTACCTTTCCTCTTCTCCTCTCTTTTCACACACTCTCACTGTCACGCGCCCTTCAAGCGACAATCGCATGTGAATATTGCGCCGTGTTGCCCTCCAATGGTGACAGATGAAGTCGCCTCTTCATGCACCGCTGCCTCTTCCCTCCGCCACCGGTCCCCTCCCCTCCCACCGCCCCGCACCCTCGTCGCTTTGCTGTCGCAGGCGCAGAGGAGTGATTTATTATTTAAATCCTGTCGCGCATATTTCAAGGGATTGAAAATATGCGCGCTTGTATGAGGTTTTGTGCCCGTTGCCCGCGTGTGAATCGTGGCACTGTTCGTCGGTTGGTACCGGCTCAGGGCATAAGCTGCTCCCTCTGCAGTGTCTATGACCGGGAGGTCCAAGGGTTCGAATCCCGATAACCAGGTTGAATTCAATTGTCTAGGGGTAACACCTGTCGGGTGGGTGTTCTAGCGGTAGTTTAATATGGTTTTTCCGATCAGAGCCTGGTAGATGCCGAGCAGTACATTCACAAACGGGTCACAGAACCCGCACGATCTTTCCTTTCACACACTTGTCCCCTCCTGTCTCCTAACATAGCCCCCACTTACATGTACTATACTACCATACATGTCGGGAGATCAGTCGGGTACGTAGGGCTTTTCTTGAGTGGTAATACACACTACTTGTAGCTGTAGCTAGAACTAGACCTTTCAGCAATTCCCTCGGCTGAAAATGTGAGGAAATTGAGTTTTGCACACGATACGGGAACGAAAAATCTTCATAAGAATATATTTTGTTGCTAATTTACCATTTTCGAATTAACTTTGTTTCTCACTTTTATTTGAAATGCTACATTGAAAGATACTTTAAAATTCTGTCGTAGTAATTTTGAACTCGGTAGAGCAAACTCGTGGTAGTATGATAGGAATTCCCCATTTAAATTCGAGACTCCTTTGATATTGCGATGCAAGATCTAAAAATGACCGTTACCTTAATGAAGTATCGTCTTTAATTTGCTTTTACTCTGCAGTTTTCAAAGCTAGTCTCTTTCGTCTCCTTCAAACTATAACAAAGGCAAATCAGAAGCTAATAACAAATACTTAACAGAACAATTACAACGTAATAAAGCTTCTCGAATATTTGGAATTCCTTTCCCTAGAAACTAATGTTCGCTACCTTCTACTGTGTCGCTCGTTCGCTGAAGCTGTCAAGAAAGTTCGCAGAGTTGTTTGTAGTAGAGGCTTTAAAGTTTCGCGAAGTCTCATGAGAAACTAGACCACAGTAAAATCGAACTAGGAGATCCAGGAAACCATTCGTGTAATGAACTGTTTCCATCACATCCGGAATGCTTGTTTGAGAAACACATTCCAACTTCGTGGTTCCGAGGAGTTTCTGAGGAGACCGACTCTGAATGGCTAAATGTAGTCGAAATTTTATCTTCCAAAGGAAGAAGTGTCGCTGTGCAGGCAATGAATTGCTGAAGCTCGAGAGAACTGAGCAACTCCGGAATCCGACGCTAAACTGATTACTGTCAAAGTCGAGAAAAAATTGAAACACCAATCAAATCACCTCGGAGATTCAAACGAGAAATCGTCTTGAATATCGGCTTTTATCCCCTGCGGTGCCAATACTCCGCGCCAGTCTATATCTTACGCAGGGAATTCGGTTCTTTCATGCGGCACAGTTTGATGCAATATTCTGGAAAATCCCATTTCGGTCCGTCTCCTTCACCCACGCTGCTGGTCCTCTCGGGCGCCGGAGCCGAATTTCTCTACCAAGAGCGTCGCGTCCCGCAGTGGGGAGCGCTCTCTTCTCTGGGAACTAATTTATCACGGGACACAGTCGTCCGCCTTCCCGCTCCCAGCTCCGCCCTGCCCCGCCCCGCCCCGTTCTGCCCCGCCCCGGCGACCTCGCAGGTGAAATACCGAGGCTGAAACAATGTGCGGGAGCCAGCGTCGCCATGGAAACCGTTTGCGCTTCCCCGTCCCGCACCCCCTGCACCCCTGATTAATATTTTTCTCGCGCGCCTTTCACAAAGGCGAAGAATGCGTTAAGGGCGTTTCGCTACACTTAGCTGCGAATATATTCCCGCCGGGTATCTCGGCGGGCGCTCGTAAACAGGAACCTTATTGTAGGAGCGCGTGCACGTCGCTGCGGGCCGGGTCGAGAGGCATCTCTTCTTGGCTGCGGCTCCTAAGACCGGGGTCGTCTGCACTCGGGTGCGGTTCTCGGCGGGTATTTCATGCAGATACGTTGCTCTTGCGGCCGCAGGAAGAGAAATATATGTGTGTATATATATATATATATATATATATATATATATATATATATAGAGAGAGAGAGAGAGAGAGAGAGAGAGACAGAGACAGAGTTGTCTTTCCCTTCGTCAAGTGTTTGTTGTTTTACGTTTTAACTGTGTCTGCTAATTGCTTTTAATTTGCACATCCTGAGTTTCTTGAGTTGAAAGTGTACTTGAACTAAGGATTTGACGAAGACTTTTCATTCCATTAGGTTTCCTTCTTTAAAAATGCAGTATTATATAAAATAGATCAAGAAACGTACTGAATGCTTACAATATAAATAGTAGTATAAGACAATGTACAATTTTCCTACAATGATAGAAAACTATTTGTATTTCATGCTATTTTGTCTTGTGTTCCACTATCAACATCATCATCATCCATATAAGAAAAATGCCGAATAATCTTTTAAACAAAATGTGGAATTTTGTGACCTTTTTTAACCCCAAAAAGTTGTAATCGCATTGTGTTAATATGCGCAACAGAACTCGAACTGAAACTCCGCTCTGATTGGCATGTATGCGTTTCTAGATGTATTCCCGTGAAACACATTTTGACATTCAATTGAATGATAATATTTGTATTGTTAGCCTCTCTCTCGTTGAGATAGTCGTTTAAAGATGTGCGTTATTATTACATGTATTATAGAACTTCGGATAAGTTTCAGTTTATTCAAATTTTGTATGAAGCTACTGTTAATGTCCGTGAGCATCCAAGCAATCGGACTTCGAAAGCACGGATTTTGCTATTTTAATTGCAAAATAAGACAGGATAATTAATTGAAAAGAGGGGTTAATACGTTTGCAATGGTAAGGTGAAGAATTCCCCTAGATATTGGTAAGTTTTACAATTTTTGCGCTAATTTTAAAAAGCATATTGTTTTTTGGATGTATTTATTACGTTTATCGCATTTTTGCACTTTAGAATTCTTTACATTTGCTTCGGTGTTACGTGCATCAACAATCCAACAGTAGTGCATGCGCGTGCGTGTGTTAGCCCCCGAAAAGAGCTTAACTTCTGGAAGTGACGTGAAGTTGCTCCTTTTGTCAAAGCGACCCGCGTCTTTCGCTTCCTCCATGGAAATCAAATTTCTCCTCGGGAAGCGCGTCCTCTGCGAGGACGTCCTGCTGGCCGGCGCTGACGGGCGTAAGCGGCTTACGGCCAGCCGAACAACCTCCTCCCCCCCCCCCGCCCTCACTGCCGTCCTCACGCCTCCGCCTGTTTGTCTTGCAGTGACCAAGTTCATCCGAATCGGTATCGCGGACAAGAATGACAACCCCCCGTACTTCGACAAGGCCCTCTACGAGGCGGAGGTCGACGAGAATGAGGACATCCAGCACACCGTCCTCACAGTCACCGCCAAGGACCACGATGAGTGTGAGTACCACAGTTTGCTTGCTTGCTTGCTTCTTCTTCGGAAGGAGAATCGACAAACTATTGACGTTACCAATGTGTTATTTTGCAATATTTCTCTGTAAGTGTACTATTTTCATTCTATTTTACGTTCATGCATACCTTTTAAATTAAAAATCTAGAATGTCACGAATATCCACGTAAACTTTTTGAGATCTTCTTCGTTTTTAATTCTGTCACATATTTGAAAAATAATACCATTAAACAAAAATGATTGTATCTTCTTACATTCACATTGATTCAAAGTTTGTCGATTTTTTTTTTGAAAGACCAGTCTCGTTGAATTGTTTAAATGAAGTATGATTTATTATCACTTGCATATAAGGATGAGCAAACGCTCGGTAATGAGGAAGTGTAAAATTAATTTTTCAAATTCATCAGTGATTTTTTTTCTGAAACTACTTTCTACAAAGAGAATAATGAAGGTCGTTAAAAACGAAAATTAAAAACTTCCTGAATTGGGCTTTGTCAACTACGAAGCGTTGAGGGCCTGGGAAAAGGGAAGTGCTTTTAGAGCGCATTTGATATTTTTCTTGAGAAGAAGCTTTTGTCAGTACTCTACTTAAGAAAAACTAATCAGCGAGATTGGTCTTTACTTTCTGTGAGAGCTACGAAGTTAGATGTAGCTCTTTGTTTTTGTATTTTTCAAGCATGAAGGTAAGTTCATCTGCAGAATAATCGCAGCGTGGGATCAGAAGCCAATCCGTCGTCCTTTTTGCTTGTTAGCCTGTGAGGCGGATTTCATCATTTCGTTATTCCGTTTCTGATTTCGGTGTTGACAGTGTAGTCTTACTTGGAAGTAATTCGGATCCGTTGAATACGAAGGTGAAGAAGCTCAGGGAAATGTGGCCGCTGATACTTAAACATAATTTTTAGACGTTTATTTTCTATAGAAAATATTTTTTGGGTTTAATAAGATACAATAATTGAATATTATGAAAAATTCGAGATAAGTGATAGATTTGCAGATTTTCACGGAAGCGCTTTTTGGGCAGTGCATTCTGTATTGGAAATTTCAGGGTTTTCTAAATATCTTACAGTTTAAATATGGTGTGGTTCATTGGTACGTATATCGTCGAAAATGAAAGAAGTGAAATTCTAACGAAAAAAACATCGCAAATTCTGTGTTTATTGAAGAATGTCTCCTGAAGCGGCGTACGTTAACAACAGAACGAATCGCGAGAGGGAATCAGGACAAAAAAACTACCGCAGCTACCAATGTCCCAACCTCCTGCCCCTCCCCCATGCTTCGGAGTCACGTTTGTGGCCGCGCTGCAAAACCGCCGGGCCCGCGGCACCCCGGCCTCCGCCCCCGCCTCCGGGGAGTTGCTTCGAGGCTGTCACCCGGAGCAAAGCCAGCTCATCCGGCGGGCGTCGCCCCCCGCCCCGCTCCGGTTCCAACTTGGAAGGGATTTTCGTCAAAAGCTTTTAATTTCCTGGCTAACATGCAAATTAAAACCTAATTAAAGACGCATTATGTGAGCGTGTTTTGCAATGCTGATGAAGCGGCTGTCACGGCCGTGTTAACGCTGTAAGAGCGGCGGGGCTTCTCTTGGTCGCCGCCGAAGGGCGCTGCAGGCCCGTCCTTCGCCGTCCTCGGGCGCTGGATAGCTCCTTTGTTTGGACCACTGATTGGACGTATTAGCCGAGTAACTTCGTTTCCCTGCTCGACGAAGGGATGATTTAATTTACAGAAATACGCCCGTAGCCAAATTTCTGCTCCGCCCGTCCTCCTGCAAGCCAGTGGCGGCAGCACCGTAGTTTTACCTCCGGGAAACGGTAACACAATTGCCGGAGTTAAATCAAGACGCTGACACTGATTTCATTCCGCTGTGGAATAACGGCTGTTACCGTGTCGCGCGGCCAGCGAGCGGGCGCAGGCTTGCGTTTGCGGCTGCGGGCCCGGCCGGATTATTGGGGTGGAGTTTTGCCACAGACCGGTAATGAGAACTCGGGAAGGAATGCGTGGGGCATACGGAGTAATAAGATTAATTTAACGCTGTGCCGGATTCCCCCGCGCATAAAAGGCAATACATCGTGCCCGCCGGAGTCCGAGATTCATCGCCGCGGGTGGCGGTGGGAGGAAGCGGAGGCACCTTCGCTTGGCGGGGCGGCGCGCCCGCGGAGCGGAAAGAAGTTGTTAGCGCTGCGGCGGCGGTCTTTCGCCGCAGATGGGAGTTCCCACCTCGCCCCACCCCGCCACGCCCTTCCCGCT